TATATTCATAAAATGAATGACATCTTATTTACTTTAACATTTTTCACCGTCAACCAAGTTTAGTGCAACTAACCCATTTTATTTATACCAATTCTAAAAACATGGTAACTGATAAATAGTCTTGCATTATTAATAGGAAAAATTAATGAGAGGCTGAACTTTTCACTCAGATTGCCTGTTCATAATGTTCCTACATTAGTAGTTCCCAAGTTCTCACCATCTAATACAGTTGTTCTCAATCAGCATGCTGCAATGCCACTGTGGGGTGAAATGGCCCAACTTACCTTGGTTTTCAGGAGGGAGGTGGAAACCAGCTGAGATGGAGCCACAGCAGAGGCAGTGCGTCTGTCTGCATTGCATGAGCTGAACCTGGAAGAGCTAAAGCAGAAGCATCACACCTGCTTGTAGAATGTAATACAGTCAGATATAATGCCCCCTCCTCCTGCAGCTCTCTCAGTTGGGCTCTATGTAACTCCTGAAAACCAAGGTACATGCCTCTGTCACCCCACAGAGGCAGCAGCCTGGATACAGATGCCACTGCCACTAGGTAGAATTGCCCCGTGCACCTCTGTATTCAGGAGGCACTTTGGAGCTGAGCCAGGAAGAGCTGCAGCAGAAACAGGGCACCTTTCTGCTGTAGCCGTTTCTCAGTTAGCTCTGACATTCCTGCTGGCACACAGGACAGTTCTATCTGCTCGACATGCCTGTTTCCGGGAGACACCATGCAAGGTTGGACTGGAAAGGCCTAGGGCAAAAGCACATGCAGTTGCCACAGCCACTTTCTGATCTGGCTCTGCAGGAGGCGTGCAGCACAAATCCGCTCAGTGGTAGTAGGGTGAATAAAATATAATTGTAAGGATCTAATTAATTAATAACCAATTACTAATTAACTATGTTATTATGCGCATATTATTCATAAATATGTATATTAGTTTTCTGAATGGGCTGCTGCAACATTTTGAAAAGTTGTGGAGGAGTCCTTTGAGTCTAAAAAGGTTTAGAACCACTGATGTAATCGCTGTTTGACCGTTGGTGATCAAAGAGGTAACAGAATAATTTCAACTCATGTATGTGCATGCTAGAAAATAAATCATCACTATCAGTACCATTCGGGGTTTTTTCCCTTCAATACAAAGGCCAAGGGTTGAATGGTACACAACTGCCTATTCATTTATAAGAGGTGGTTCCCTCCTGGACAGCTTATTTACTCTGACTTTCTGAAGTACCTCAGAAGACTATTCCTTTCCCACACAGGGAGGGGGAAAAAAAGAAGAGGATTTAGGGATTTCAGTCTCTAGGAATGTTAAGTTCTAATTGAAATGTATACACTAGCAGCAAACAACATAAATACACACATTTACAGACTGCACAAGAGCACAAATAGCAAATTAAAATATAATTAGCATATCATTTCACATAGGAGGTCATATTGACTGATCAAACCCACAAGCCGTAAATATATTTGTCCCCTGAACCACTTATTTACAACAGAAAATGTACATGGTTTTTATACAGACACAGTTGTAATTTATGTTTGAGATGTTAACCTCACTACAATTACCCGTGCCTTTATCACTCGCACACTCAACATACTCTAGCTAGGGCTTGGGACAAATAAAACTCCAACCACTAGAGAACATACTGGTGAACGTAATCAGTACTTCACCATAGTGAACATTTTAAAGTCATGAACCAGAAATGGCACAGGCTTACTAGTAATTTCTGGGTGCAATTGAAAAAAATAAATAAAGCCTTTTATTATGGTATCTGTCAAATTTGTTCTCTCTGCATTTTGCTGGCAACCATTTATTTGTAAACTCCCAAGATAAAATATGAGGTGAACAGTGATCTCTAAAGGCAGCAGGATACAGACCAGAAATTCCTTAAAAACAAAGCCAAGCCAGCAATTACAGCTAAGAATTTATTAAAATCCAGCAGAACCTTTTAACTACACAGTTGAAAACTACTCTTTGAAGACTACCTGCAATGTGAGCTTATACACCTAAAGTTCAGTTCAACTGTAGAATTTCCTTCCCAGTCAAAGGCCTATTCTGCAGACTTTTAGGGAACTTTTTAAAAAGACTGCTCCCTACCCTCTCCAATAGAAAGTGTCTTGCTGCATGGAGGCAAGAGTGCTTGGCACCATGCAAAAAATCAGGTCCTTATACTTCAATAGTGGTGAGATGGAAAAATTTAGATACAGATTTAAAATATATATATTACATTTATGTGATCATAATTACTCTGCATGTCTCTATATGCCCTAGGTTAGGTAGGTGCTGTAAAAATGAGGCCCCCACTGCCACCCACCACTTCCAACGGACAGTGGCTGCAGGCGCTGCGTGTTGTACTGAACTCAATGCACTTTGTAAATGAGGAATCCTGGTTCATTAGCTGCCTCCCCTCTAAGAATACTGAGACACTGATTTGCAACTGAGTCAGGTGCTGAAGCGTTGAGGAGCAGAGGGAGTAGAGACATCCTCTTGTTTAGCATATCTGATTTTAGTTACAGGGCCTCCTTGCTTATCACTAGTGTTCTGCATTGAACTTTGGAGGCACGTAAGTTCCTGCAGAATTAATGAAGCAAGTTAAGTGCCTAAGCCTGTTGATTTGGATGACCCTCCTAGAAAAAGGCATCTAATTTTCTGGCACTGCAAAGCTTAAGCGGAGCCATACATGAGAACAATCTGCATCTAGCCAATAGACATACCGTAATAGGCTAGAGACTTAAGCCTATAAGCTTGGTCAGGCACAAGGTAAACAAATATTTTGATGTTTTACTTCCTGTACCCAATGCACAAAAAAAATGAGTGAAACGGTAGCATAACAAGTTATTAATATCTATGATAGTAAATAATAATTTAAAAAGTGAGGTTTAAATATTAGTATTTAAACACATTTTTACAAAGAAAGGGACCAAGCCTACAAATCTTTGCTCACACCACTACTCTTGATCAAGTTATGGAATTTGATGACCAAACGTTTGTAGAACAATCTGCTATTTCATAATAGGTTTGTTGAATAAATACAACAAAAAGTTTTATCTGCATTTACCAGAAACTACACCAAAAGTTATAAAATAAGCTACATACAACCTCCCTCACATACATATGAACTATATTAATGCAAATAATATTTGACAAAAGCCATAAAATTCAAAGTGGTATCTGACATTACAATTTTTTTCATAGTAAAATTATAAGAGGCCTCAATAGCGTAATTAAACAGCTCCTCTTTCACTACCCTGTGTGTTTAAGCCATACAAATGCTCACTTTTTTGGATTTCTCTAATGTTGACAAATAATAAGTTTCCTCTTTCAAAGTAAAAACTAATATTTCTTGTCTTTCCTCATTCATTTGGCAAATAAAGGATTCTCTTCTGATCTTAGGAATAAATATGATATCCAACAGGATCTATAAATTCCTTTTGGATCCAAGTCATTGCAAAAGATAAAACCGTTCACTTAACTTCAATGCATATGTATATGTATGTGTGAAGTCAAACGTGTTTGTATATTTTTTCAGCGTCAGAGCTCTAGCTTTCAATTACTGTAACTTTGTTCTATTTTAGTACTGGTAACAAAAATGAACAAAAAATTGCAAAATCAAACTAACACTTTCAAATTTAACAGATCCATATTTTATATTAACATGAACAAATCTAATATGGAATACCAAGTTACTACAAAGTCTCTTTTCAGACTATATACTTTAATGCAACAAAAAGAAGCATAAATAATGGAGCCTTTTTCCCACTTTATCTTTTCTTACAATGATACAAAAGAATATTTATCTTTCAACTGTGTGAAAACACCATGTGGGGGAGGCAGTTCACTGCGATTGCTGGCAATAATGTGATTATTAAGCTAAAAACATCTAGCTATGAGGATAGTGTTTAATGCACACTGGACACTGAGAAATAGCAAGTTAATTTGGAAAAACTTGTTCCTTAGAGGAAGAAGCATCTAACTCACTTATGACCTTATTCTTTATGCATACATAATTGTGTTACAGGTAAAACAAAAATCAACAAAGCAAGATGGCAGCAAGAATGGAAACTGCTTTAAGGAGATGAAGTTTTGACTTCAACAGAATTGCACTGGGGTTGCTGAGAAGAACATTAGTTAAACGTTGTAAAAAGAAATTGCTCAAAATATTTTTGCTGCCAAGAGGGCAGAGTTTTTTTAAAAAGATTCTAATCAGGGATTTTAAGGGCATTTTTTCCCTTATTAATCCAGAATGTGTGTAAATTAGTGTAGCCCTCTGAACATCATCTCTCCCTCTATATACAAAAAGCTGAAGATACATTATAGCTAAAGCTTCCAAGAAAGTCTAACCATAGCTGCCTTTCAGTAAGATTTAGGGGCTCTCAAGTAGCTATGTCATACTTGCATGCTTTCCAAAAAATTTACCCTGGAAACATTAATATGATACTTAACAACACACCATTTCCTAATTTTTTTTTCCCATACGAAGCATTTTTTGTAGCACACACTGCTATAGTACATGGTGACATTTATTTAAATGTAGATTTCTTGTAATAAACAGCAGTTTAAACATATATACAATGTGCATGTATCTACAACTAAAATTGAGAACATGCAAGTTGACTTTCATTATACTGATACCCAGTTATGAGGACATCCCACGAGTTCCCTGGAATAAAGCAGCAAGATATGAAAGACAGCAAGAATGACTGAAATAAAAAAAACTACATATGAATTAGATTTCCTTTAAATATTCTTATAAGAAATCATTTACAAATAAACCCTAAGAACTCTAGCTTCTCCAGTCACAAACATGCTATTTTCCAAAATCAGTTGACATTACTTTCAGACATGATATTCTTTAAATATGTTATTTAAAGAATTTGTTGGAGAAAAAGAAAAATATCAGTGCTCTCTTTGTTCCTCCTAACAAGCATGGGAATCTTACCTATTTAACGGCATGCTGCCCTAGCTAAATGATGAATCCTGTCTATTGCTTTCAAATGCACCAACCTTCTCAAAAACACTGGATGGTGTCATCAAACAAAACCTGATGTTCTGAATGATGGTGTCCGTATGCCTCCAGCGTCTTCTATCATGCCGCAGCCAAGCCTGAACAGCCTCGTACAGTTCTATCTCTGGAAACCTGCTCAGATGATCATTATCCAAGTAAGACATGAGCTTTTCAAAGGTCAGATATGACAGGAAATCGGGTCGGGACATGAGTGGCACAAAATTTTCTAACAGAAAGGAGTCCAACTTTTCTCTGACTCCCTCAATGTTTACACCAAAATCATCTAAGAGTCTCATAATTTCTGCACAGTTTTCTAAGCAGATTTTTGCTAAGAGAAAAGAACAGCAGAACTTCACCACCTCTATAAGCTGAACATACATGGCAGCCTGCAGGATCTCATGAACAGTGTTCATACTCAGTTCAATAGTTCCATAGTACATGAATTGGAGGACATGGCTGAAGCCTGTGGCAGTGAGACCTTTCAAATGGATTTTGTCCTGATCACGTTCCCGCATGTCTGCTGTGAACATAATCCTGAAGTAATCACTTTGGGTGGCAAGCAGTGCTTTGTGTGCCTGAAACTGGTGGTCTTCAATGACAAGAGTGACATCAAGAAGCAATCCTTCCTCATACAGTGCTCTGAACCCAGCAGAGACGCTGGTGTCATGGATAGAGGAGCTAAACCCTTCCACGTCCCCTGCCATGAATCACCTGGAAAAAAGAATCAAGCAGAAAAAAAAAAATTATAAGAATTAACAGAATAAAATCTCTTTCAGACTGCATGAACAACAACATTAATAGTATGTACTTTATGTTCATTAACATTTTTCAATTTTACAATAGCTCTTGGCAATTCACCTTTTGGAGACAACCCCCTTTTTTAAATCTCTTCCCATGTTTTCTTTACTGCCTTGAAAATTAATTTAGTAAACAATTCACCCAGGGAAGCAAATATTAGTTGTAAATGTGATGTTGTTACTTGTTTGGTGTTGTATAGCATTATTGCATTTTTAAATTCTTGTTTTCATGTGTTTACATCACTTTACAGTCATATAATTAGGTATTTTTCTATCATACCCCTAGGGTCTAGCTTATCCCTTAATGGTTTTTTTCATAAAAGAGCAATTAAGAAAAATAAAACACCATGTTTAAAATAAAGTAATTTGAAAATTTCTCATCTTCAGAAATAAGACCCCAAAAGTCTTCACAAAGGTTTGAAATCAAAGATGTCAGAGTAAGATACAAGTATTGTAATATGCACTATAATGACCCCAGAAACCAACATTTTGCACTCTGCACATTTTGCAAAGGTGCTTCATTTGTATTTCATCTTCTTAGGAGATAATTACATACATCATGGTATTACTGAGAGGTATAAGAAGTAATGCTGTATGTGAAGTCCACAACATTAAAGCCATCAGAAACAGAGATGCTGTATCTCAGAAAAATAGTACGTTTCTCCATCTCTGGTGACTGAGGGCTCTAACTGCCTATTAAGCAATTGAACTTGAAGACAGAATGTGCTTTATGTATGAAAAAATAGAGGGGTGTTAATTTGTCACTTCAAGGACAATGTAAATAATGGTAAATTATCCAGCAATGACCAATTATTGGTAGTTATTTTTTAAGGGGGAGGGGGCATTGGGAAGGGGAAGAAACAGCAGCACTAGCAGGAAATAACAACATTGAATTGAACTATAGTGGTGAACTGTGCCTTACACAAATTAACCCAAGTTCACTGTGCATGGGGTTATAACATTTTTTTAAATAAATTTTAAAATACTTAAAAAATATATCTATATGAT